GCAGGACCTCTAGTCATTACCAGCAATTGCAGGAAAGCAGATGCTGACTGTGCCATGTGTGTCCATTGTTCATTAAACACTTGCAAGGGTTGGCTGAAATGTGTGACAGCTTACTGTGTCTCCCCCTGTACTGCTCTGCCTTCACCACCAAGGTGCCTTAAAAGCCACCAATCTGCTCTTGCATGGAAAGTGTTTGGGGTTTTTTCTGTTGACTGTCAGCTCCTGCCTAGTTACATCAGTGTCACACAATCCACTGCCCATGTATTTCTCAGTTGCCATTCCAGACTTGATGACTTCCCCTCTTGGCTCACCTCGTTGTTCTCCCCTGGCTGCAGCTGTGCCTACAGCAGATCTGCGTGCTGTCACAAGCTGGCATCCTGCTGCAGTGGTGCTGTAACAAATGACACAAGAATGTTTGTCTTCGATGTGCCCCAGAAAAGGTGCAAATGCAAGTTCAGACTCCTTAGGAGCTGGGATTTCTGAAAACACATCCCCAGTGAACAGCAATGGCAGCCGCAGCAGTAAGAAGCTTCAGTAGGTATCTCCACCCACACCCCATTTCAAAATAGCGATGAGAACATTTAGCAGTTGGTAGTCTAATGTGTCCTGGGATATACGGGTTTATTTTTTCTTTTAAAGCTGGCTTTGCTGGTTGTTCAAGAACCATGAGATCAAAAATTAAAGGGGTTTTATTTTTCTGTATCTCAAAGGTTAAAGTGCCAACAGATTCTTTGTTCTGTTTGATGCAGAATAGAGCCATAGCCTGAGAGCACTACAGTTTCCCTTTGGTGGTGTATGGCTGGTGGATGATAACATATCAAATATGGGGGAATGGCTGAACAAAAGCTCTTTTTTAAAACAACCTGTAAAAAGCCTTATACCAAACCTCATAGAGGCCATAGCATTGCTGGTTCTTAAAACTGTTTGGTCTTGTTAGGTTAGGGTCGGAAAGCACATTAGATGCCTATGCTCTGTCAGGGAAACAGGTAAGAGCAAGTAAACCCAGCTTGCAAAAATAATCCAAGCTAAGTCCAGCCATTCTTTAATTCTGTCCTGAAACTTGGGGAAAACCCACCATTCCTGATACTCCATTAGGTCAGAAAGTGTAATTTTGGTGCCTCAGGGGTTGTAGAGGGTTAGGGCTACTTGATGGCTGTAAAGGATGTCTACAGCTCACCTGCTGCTATGGAACTACCAAAAATGCAGCAGGGTTATTACAACCTCATGAAAGAGTTGGTGAGAAGAGTGCTGGAAGCTGTGGTGTTTGATTGCCTCCAGGCTTTTGGTGATAGAAAATTGAGGTGGTGCAGGAAATGTTTCTGAAATGCAGAAAAAGGGATGTGGATTGCCTTGCAGGTACCGGTTCTCACATTGTCTGTATCTCACTTTATGTTGCTTGCTTATGTTATAAATAGATCAAATCAGGAATGTGCCTTATTTATACAAATCTTAAAAAAACACAGTATGTTTCTCGGTGTTGTGTAGCTAGCCTATGAGGCTTTTTGTTCTTGTATTTGTTTCTGGAGCAGCCAGGCACTGCATGTGATCTGCAGCACTAATGGGAGCGTAGGTGAGAAACAAAAGGCGAAGGGCTTTTGCGCAGAGCAGCAGGGGAGCAACCTTTCCATGGATCTCACCCAGACCAAGAGGAGCTTAACCTTACAAACTCTGAGCTGTCAAAGGATTTGAGGGAGTGAAATGGGGAGTGCATGGCTTGGCAAATAGGCATTAGGGGTTAATGCTGGCTGGAGCGTTTTGACCCCACAGGCAGAAGCCTGGGGCTGGTGGGAAGAGGAGACAAACTAGGGACCTCCCCTCTTGTTTTAACGTTTGTATACCTGTTTGTGTGGGTTTTGTTTGTTCTTTTTCTTCCCTTGTCTGCCCTTGAATTCCAGGATTGACCAACCCAGTCTAAACCCATGTTTTTTTACAGGGGAGGCTGTGTGCTCTCCCATGACCGACCGAGTAGGGTGAGGCCCTTCATCTGCAGTCAGCATCCCAACGGGAGCAAGGGGAACCAGGCTGCAGGGCACTAAGACATTGCAGCCCAGGGACTCCCCGCACTGTGGGAAACGCAGCTCTGCATGTAGCCCCTTTCCTTCCCTTAAAAGTAAACCCAGGAGGGATTCAAAAAAAGGTGAAACCTGGCATAATAATCTCAGAGGATGTTTTATTGTCAGGAAGACATCATCTCTGTGCGAGTAGGACAATGTGAGAAAGCGTGTTCTGTAAGGACGACAGGGCGTGGCTCAAGCATCAGTAACAAATGCTGGAAGAAAAAATGCTCTTTGTTCTGCAGTCAGGTGGGTTGACAACTATTCTCACCCATCCCTGGCATGCATAACACCCAAAGCAATTAAAAGATTGGGGAAGGCGTGACATACTGAACTGCTGCAAATGCAGGTTCAGCCTAGAATCTGCTGTCTTTTTTTATTTATTTTTTTTCTTTTTAGAGAATGATGTTCCAAAGCTCACTGGTATAAAAATAAGCATATTTGTGTTCCATGCAGCTGCTTTGTTTTAGTATCAATGTTTTGTGTGTGTAATGCTTCAATTGGTGAGAGCTGTCTAGCACTAAAATTTATACTGGCCTACATATGACGAGGATTACACCAAAGTGTGCATTAAAATGCATTAAAAATGTATACATCCATATAAGCATACAGTATAGCAAATCAACTCACAATGACAGTCCTGCTAATTGGAAAATAATTTCAAAGCCATTCCTTTTAAACTACCCTTGTTTGTCTGGCAGGTTTAATAAAAGAGAAATAAAAATATGTACACTGTTGCCTTTAGATTGCTACAGGCTAAAGCAGTATCTAGATCTTAGAAAAAAAACGATTAGCCTCATTTTTTATGCTTTGTTCATTCTGCTGTAAGTTGGTTTGTTTAAGCGATAAAAATGTTGCTGTCTTTTCTTCCCCCCCCCCAAGCATCAGAACTAGAACTTGGTCTCATTGCAGTTGCTGGCAAGAAGTGAAATCGTTGCATAAGTGAAATACTATGAACTTGTTTGTAGACAAGCAAGTAGGAACGAATGTATAAAGCAACAAAAAGAGGAGTATGACCATTACGCATCTTCTCTCTTCCCATTTTAAATAAATTCTTTAAAGTTCCAGGGTCAAGAATTTGGAAGGCTACCTATTTTGTGTGTCTGTATAAATATATGTCTGTGTGCATAAATTGTATCTTCTAAAAATGTCGTCTTTTGCTGGGAGGAAGAGAAATCTGCTTGCAAATTTACATCTTGCGACATTTCCTTACAACTGCACGTTGGTGTATGTACTGCTAGAGGCCAGCCCGTCATTTCTTGGTAAAAAGAACCTTTCAGCTCGGTTACCTCCTGTAGAGAGCTAATTTTCCAGCAGTCAGGCTTGATCTGGATAAATAATTAGAGAGCGCAAGAGAGAGAGATGAAGATGATCACATCAGTGCTGTCTGTAATTCAGTTAATACAGCCAGACCCTGTGATTTCGTGTCTGCAGCATACTTGTGTGGTCTCAAAAGCCGCAGAGGCAAGCAAGCAACAAAGCCAATCGGTTTCATTTGTCTTGGAAGAATTAGCAGCACTTTTCATTCAATTTGTGGAAAGCCAGCAAACAGCTGCAGCATGCATCTGCAGGATGAGAAGGTGATTCTTGACACGTTCGCTCTTCCCACCCCACTGCCCCTCGTACGCAAAAATTTCATCACGCAATTAATGGATGGGTATCGCCATCTTTAAGAACAGCACTTGTTTTCTTTGTAGTTTGAGATGTTGTGGTGTTTTTATGTTGGAGTTAAAATTGGTGTGTTGTACAGTGGGGTGAAAGCCGGCTAGGTGAAGCTGACCATTTCAGCATTTCTTGATTGATTTATTCTAAAGCTGATCAGAATTATCTGATAACGATACTAAACTGCAGAGGAAGTGTGCCTGGTTCTTTGAGCAAGCAGTAGCATTTCACATGACTCTTAATTGTATCTCTTCCACTGATGTTAAAGCAAGCTACATTCTCATACAGTCTTTGAGGATGTGTTTGTTACTGATGCGTTCCTCCTGTGTACAGTGTTATAAAGGGGTTAAAAATACATCTTTGGTTCACTTTATTCCCAGTGGTAGCTCAACTGCATTTATACATGGATCGGATTAAAATAGGTCAATATCTTTTGTGGAAGGTCTTTTGACACTTTGGTGCATGACTGCAATATACCTACCTTGAGGATGAATGGACCCGGAGGAAATCCGCGCATTAACAGAAACACAGCCTCGGGATACTTTACGATCACATTCCTTTATTCATCATCTAAATCAAAGGCTTGACAGAGGGTATTTTTTCATCAAGTCAGTCTAAATAATACTTTATGAGGTGACAGATAACTTCTGCTGAAGAAATAAACCCATGTATTTAGATAGTCAAGAAACATCTGAATGGTGTGGTTCTATTCTGTTCTTTAAACTGAATCATTTGCATAAAATTATGTATGTATATGCTCTAGCTGAAATGTTTCAGAACCTTATTAAAAAGAAAATTGTGTATTCAGGAACTGCCTTATGGCAGGAAGTCTTTGTCTGCCTGTTTGCTTTATTGCAGTTGTTTACTGCCTTGAATTGATTTTGTCTACCAAATCAGTATATTGAGGATGGCTGGGGAAGGCAGGGTGGAGGGAGGGTGCAGTTCTGCAATTAGCAGGACCAAGAAGCTTTTTTCTGCCTCACGGTTTGTGGGGGTTTTTTTCCCCTTTTTAAAAAATAAATAAATGAATTAAAACCCCTTGGAATTTCCATATTATAAAGAGGAAGAGGCTTCTTTTCAATATTATGGTGCCATTAACATCTATTAATAATGCAGACAGGGTAAGTAGCTGGAGTTGGAGCTCCCTGGGGGCCTCGTAAAACAGATGTGCACTGTATCTTCCCGGATTTGATAGCTGCTGGAGTCAAGGGTGTCGCTGTGATTCCCGTTTATTTCCTCTGGCAGCGGTTTTCTAATTTAAGCACCTCTGTCTCCTGGCTACAGTTGCCTGCTGCAATGTGGAGGGGGTGTTCATGCATTGTCATGCCTGCTGCCAGAAAATGGGGCACAAGCTGAGTGGCCCTTCCTCAGCATTGCCTGCCACCTCACTCACTGTCGGTGCTCTCTTCAGATGCCTTTTCTGTTCAAGGTGGTGGAACTGGGCTCTTGTGTTGGGTTTATTTTGCAAAAGACATCAAGGTAAGTGTTTCTTCCTCCTTTCAGACGCAGATGTATTTTTGCATGGGAAGGAAGAAATATTACAGCTTGTGAGAGCAGGTAGCGTATGCTTGAGGTGATGTCTAGCCGTTGGTGGGAAACGTAGTTGCTGTATCCCCTTTCTCAAGATTTCACTTATCTGTTTTACGGCAATATATTCATGGTTCTGCCTCTGAATAGGTAGCACTGCATGTTCTTTCTGTAGCTGTCTGCGTTTTAACTCAAGAGGGTGGGGTATACCAGAAGGACTTAAAGTATTTCATTTTTTTAATTCTATTTCTTTAATTGCAGAGTTTTCTGCGTAAGTAGTGATAAAATGCTAGTGTATGGCAAAATGTCTTTACAGTCAATACTATATTGGATGTATTCACATCACACAGGTTTACGATTGCCTTCAATCGAATGAGATGTGAATGTGTGTCCTTGTGTGCACTTGCATTACAATATAGTCTTGTTGTATGCATTTAAATGTAGAGGTATGCACTTTTGCTAGCTTGTCACAGGTGGGGGGTGGGGGCAATATCCTGGTAGCAGGTCCAGATCCTTTTCAGCTGTTTCCACCAGCTGCATATTACAGTTAAAAGTTCAGAAATGTGCAGAAAGGTAATGTAACTACTTGGAAAGGACAGACAGAACAGTTACTACTTCACCTCTTTTATTCTGCCATTAGTATGTGTGCAAATGACCATTAGTCTCTTGCAGTGAGGAGTACTGTGTTATATAGGGAAGCACAATTTCTGCTGTATATCCTACAGTAATACCCTCAGCTGAGAATCAGGTTGCTTCTGTAATTTCAGAAAGATAAAGATATATCCAGTAGAAGGAAACAACAGAGGCGTGGGTAGGGATTTTTTGGAAGTGCTGCATAAGCCAGTCCATGGGATTTCAGCAGGCAACCCTCAGAGTAGTCTGAATGGGCCTTACTCTTCCCCCAAATGCATTGAAAACTTAAAATTTGCCTCTGGCTTATCACACATTTAAAGCCCCTTGCTGTTCTGCTGTCTTCCTGTATACTGAGACACTGTGTATTAGCTTGTCTGTCCTTGTGAAGCACACTGACATAACAGGTGCTTCACTTAAGTGTCCAAATCCAAAAGACAGAAATTAAATAATTAAAAATATATATATATGTGAAATTTGGAGGAGAGAAATGACTTAAAAGCAAAACATACTCTTTTATATAAAACTTAAGTTATTTTTTCCTTTTATTAGATCTAGGCTATGTTGCAGATAGCTGTCTTTTTTAATATATTGACTATTCCTCTTATCTTTCTGATAGAATTCCAGTCTTTTACTAATATCAGTCAGACTTCAAATAAAAATGCACAGATTTTACAAAACATTTCAATTAAGTAATTAAATATGTGTAACATTAAAATGAGCACACCTGCAAATAACTTTAAAGCAGAGCCTTTTTTTTCTTGGGAAAACTTGCTGTCTGTTACTTCTGGTAATTTTGTTTGCTGAGTAATACAGAACGTTTGCAGAAGAGGTCAATAAGGCTTATAACTGATAGGTTTGAAAGAACAATAAAATACTGTCTGGTTTTAATCAGGGACTTGAGTTAATGTTTTGTATTGATGTTTTCCTAACTTATAATCTGTTTGGTAAATTCTGTTATGTATTCATACAATATTTCTATCATTCAGCCCTTTTTTTGTGAAATCAGTGTGTGAAGCTATGGCTGCTGTTAGTGCTTAATGATTCCTTTTTTCCTGGCTCCATAAAATAATCCCTTCGGAATTAATTGACGACCTAAGCATTAACCAGCATACAGAGGGAATTGTAGAGCTGTATGTTTTGTACTTCACCTATTGTTTGTTAAAACCAACAAACCTAAGCCTCTTTTTTTGTTGTTGTTTGTGGTATCACTCACTTATTTGGGCCCTTTTTGGATTATCAGTGGTGAATTTCACATCCAAAATACTGTTCAGATGCGTAACATTTGGTGGTTTAATATTTAATGACTGATTATGATTGAGATTATATATGTGCTTCTTTGCCCTGGTAAGAGTGTCTCTGTGAAATTAAGACAGACTGTGGATTTTGTGGTGTTGGTGTACATTTTAGTGTACATTTTCCCCTTATTTTCTCATAAGGAGAAAATACACATGCAGGTATAATACAGTAACAAGAAACAGTAACAGGAAGCAGTAATTTTAATGACTTTTATACTATGCTTGTCCTCTGGATGATCAACATCTTTTTAATTTAATTTTTCTTTTTTTAGGTAGACTAATAAACCAAGCTAGAAGCAAAATTGTCCACTTAGGGAACTTCGCTGAATATAAAAATACATTGCAAGAAGTCAGGCTTCCACGTTCTTTGGGAAACAAAGGAAAGATCCTCTTTCCTTTGTTAATGATATTTATAATCTTTAACTCATTAGTTGCTGAAGGTAAAGACGACATGTTGGAAGGATTAGAGATGATTCATTGATAAAATTTACATAGATTATTTGAGGAATGTGTGTGTGTGGTTGTTCTGCAGATAAATTGCACACAAAAAATGCATAAGCAGTAGGCATTGCTCCTCCTTAAGGCTCCTTAAAGAGCACTGAATTTTTATCCTGTGTTTGGTGTGTGTTTAATGCCTTTTAAATAAAGAACAATTTGCAGGATTGCTTTTTATCTGAACTTTGGGTGCACCCTTGTGTAAAATGGAAAAGCTTTGTGAGGCATCCATGAGAAGGTAATATGGGGCTGCTGTATATGGCAAGCTGTGATTTGGCCTCTTCTGAAAATGTATCATTGTAATTTTGTCTGAGTAGTCTTAATTCTGAAAAGGTAACCTTTCTTAAGTGACAGTCTGCTGAACAGGATCAGTTATGGGTATATAAAAAATATATATACAGATATACAGATCATCTTCTTTTTAAATGATCTCCTTTTTATTTTACATGTGGAGGCAAACAGTATGTCCAAAATGCAAGGAATATATTTTTCCTTTACCCAGGAGTAGCACTTTTACATGATGCATAGTCTTTGCTTTTTCAAAATCCTGTGTGTTTTGTTTTCTGATTGAATTTTAAAGCACAGTGTTTCAGTGGATGCTTCAATATGTTGCATTTTGCTTACATGGGCTTTGCAAACCCACAAATAATTAGCACTTTTTATTTATTCCCATTAAATCATATGTACATGTTCCTTGAACTTTATGCTAAGGGGGAAAAAAAAAATCTTCCTTCTAGTGACTGTTTGCTTTTGTGCGAGATATTGCAAACCTCTACCCAGGATCCTTACTGTAGCTGCTTATGATAACCTCCAGCATGTTGATGTGAGGGGAGGAGCAGAAATCTTAACAGCTCACACTCCAGACACCCACGCTGATTGCAATAGAGGAAACTTTGTATAGCAGCAAAACAGAATAGTAAATAGAGAGTCAGGAATTGTGAAAATGTGGCAAGTTATAATTATGAAGAGGACGTGCATTGAGCTGAATACTTCTTTGTATGTGACACAAGTGAGATTATTTGCAGGGGGGAAATCCTCAAATTTATGTATTTCATTTACTTTTTGCAAGTGTTTGTTTCTGTGTTTCCTGGTTTCTGATTGACCTCAAAAGGAGGGCATTCTTCTCTGGCTTAAAGGTCAGGTCCAAGGACAAAAAGATGCAGCATCGGTAGCGAGAGCTGAAGAGCAGAAGTGATTCTCTGAGTCTGTAATTTTCCCCATTTTTCTCTTTTGTTCAAGTCAGATACACACAATCATACATATATTTCTATGTGGCTTTGTACATGGCAGCATGGTTGCGGATGCGCCTCAGAGTCTGCAGGGATTCAACATGCAGGTACCAAGGATGTGCAGGGACAGTGCTTCCAGTACCCGTTTTGAGTTTCCACATGTGGGAACGTGTATTGTTTCTCCCAGAATCTTCCTTCAGGGAGATTATTTGGATTGCAGAAGGATATAGATTAGTTATTTATTGAATGTTCCTGGAAAGACAGAAGGCTACATTTGTGTACAGGAGACAACTACTGATTTATGCTATAAACCACATGTAGCTTATAAATTTGTGCATGGTGAATGTCTGCATTATACACCCTTTTCCACTTTATCCATGGATAACCCCCGTTCATTTGTCCCCCTGAGGACTGCTGCAAGTATTCCAAACACCCAGCCCTTTTAAAATAAAATAAAACCTGCTAATGTGGTGGGGTTTTATTTTCTCCTTGCTGAAATGGTGAATTTCCTCCTCTACAGATCATGCCTTTCTTGCTCATAAGAGGTATGGAAGTGGTTGTCATGTTGTAAGCAGCCTGACCAGAAGGACAGGGAGATAAGGACCCTAATGCTGGCTGTGGGGCACAACCTCTGCCAGATAGAGGAGCACTGGGCTGTGTGTGCAAGAGGATGGGGACTGTGCTTTGGGTAGAGCCCTTTATCTCCATCCTTTTCAAGGCCCCTGCTCTTGGTGTTCTAATGGGAGGAGGAGTGCTGCCTTTTGGGGTTGATGGAGTTAAGAAAATGTGTCTTTGTACCAAGTTGCCTTGCATGTGTGCTTTTACTAAATTGCATTTTGTTAAAAGGCAAGGTCATTCTGACACTGTAGCTGCTTTGCTCTGACCTTCCCTCAAGGGCACCTATTATCCCAAAGGTATGGTTTTCTTCCACAAGGATATAACATCACTGTCCCTCCCTCCTGTCTGTTATATGCCCCAGCAGTTAATTTCTGTGTGAAACAACATATCTTTGCATGTTTAGACCATGAAACCCAGATAGGGAGGTTAAACTGCATGACAGTTGTGTACATGAAAGTCTTCATTAGCCTCTGTACAAAAGAAAGGAGAAAATAGATGTCAGAGAGCAGTTTCTGCCCAGTTTTGTTTCTGCAGCAGATGAGTGGGAGTGTTCAGATACCTCAAGTACCTTCTGCAGCGGCAGCGTGCAGGTTTTCAAGCAAGTCTCATGTCCAGTGCTAGATGAACAGGGACTGCAGGGGGACCTGGTTGCATGGCTGAACAACCAGGAGCTGGGGTACCTCTCGAGTCAAGGCGGTGTCCCCAGGCCTGAGCATCACCATGCCTCTGCATTGCTTTGCCTGTGACCTTTTGCTACCTCTGAAATCAGTAGAGCCTGAACCTTTGTGAGACCATGCCCCCAGCAAAGGGGCTGAAAGTGCACAGTGCGTGGTTAAAGAGGTCTTGCATTCATGTTGAGTCGCTGCCAAAAGCAGTGCTAAAGCCCACTGTGTCTGGCAAGTTGACGCATCGTTTTCTGCTTGAACAACAGAGGGGTTTTTTTCTCAGCATCTTGCTAGTTCCTTGCTCTATTAGAGTTCAACTTTGAACCATTTGAAATTCATAAAACATCTAGGAATATGCAGATTTTCATATCAAAAGTCAAATCCAAGAGCCCATTAAATAATACAAGTACTCTATAATAGGCTTTATTAGGCTAATATTAACTACAAGTGACACTTCAGTGGCATCAACTGTGACAATGGAAGTGACATTTTTGAGCTGCCTTCTTTTTAGGGAGAATGTTGATTGTGGCTTTTTCAATTGTCACTGTGGCATAACACTCATAGACCAATGTATTTCTGGCAAGTGTGACATGTACCTTCTCTCTGGTTGCAGGGGTGTGATAGTCAGACTTGCTGCTGCTTGGTAAGTTTCTTGCACTGACAATATGTAGTGACGGCATTTCTGGCCATAGAGACGCGTGGACTTCTGTGAACCTGTTCAGAATTAGATTTCTTGAGAAACAGTTCTTGATTAGATATCAGTATGTTTACCAAGGCAAGGAAGAATAAGACTGCCAATGTTAATGGTTAACCTATGAAGCAATGGCTTTAGTTGTCTGAGCACATGATGAAAGAGAGTCAACAATGCAGCATTCTTTCTCCTTGGTGGTGGACTTGGTGTTTTGATTCTGGTGTAGCTTTCAAAGGATGACAGCTTCAAATACTTGGCATGCAGAAAGGTGCAGTTCTTGTCACTGTCTGTATCCCTGGTACCATGTAATTCTCTGACTCCCAGGCTCGTACCGGATACAAATATTGATCTTCTCTGCAAAGTACTATGCAAGCATTTGCTAAGCCCTGCTTTAGATCTTGAAGGTTGTGTTAGTGTCAGTATTCTAGGCCAATCCTCTTCTTTGAGCATATGTTCTGGATAGGCTTCATTCTGAACAGTCTATAAAAGCAATCTCTAAAAGTGTCCCCAAATCAAGAGCCAGTGACTGCAGGCAATCTTTTTATTGAGGGAAAATTGCATAGTTTTGGTGAAACTTGTTCTCTTTTAATGATTGTTTCACCTATGCTTATAGTCACACAGAAGAAGATAGATGGAGAATAATTCCAATCATCAAAGAGATGGTTTAACTGACTTCTCATCTTGGTAGATTGCCATGATTGGAGTACCATTTCCCAAAAGACTGCAGAATTTCTGATTTGTTTGCTGTGTAGTTTGCAACATGGATTGTAGCTAAGCAGAAGGAGTAGTCATTGTCTTTTCTGATTGACAAGAAATATCTGCTAATTTATTATTCTGTTCTCTTCACCTGCTAAGTCTTAGCTTTGAAGGCCCTGGAAATACAGGCTTGTCCTTTGTCAGTCTGTTCACTGGACAATGTTCACAGCCCGTGGTCAGTTTGGCTGATAAATTCTGCTGTAATACATGTCATAAGCCTGGGTAGGAACCTAATTGAATTGTCCTGTACTTCCCTTTTGCTACCCATCTTTCAGTCATTGATTGGACTTTTATCCAGTATCTTCTATGTATCTTGAAGGAGTGCAGCTGGCTGCATAGAACCTATACTGCAGTACAACACCTATCCCCCTTCTTCCAGTGTTCCCAACCATACATGCAATAATTTAGGTTCATTTCCAGATCTTAAATATACTTTCTTGCTTGATGTATTTTACAGAAAAAAGAACATTTACACACTAATTATTCTTCCTGTAAAATCCTGCTGTATTTCCTTTCCAGAGGGCTCATTGAAATGAAGCCTGTGATAAGTCTGTCACTCCTAAAACTCAGAGATTCTTGTCTGTCATTCTCATGATTACATGAGATAAGAGATACTTACTACATATTTGATTTAATCCAATTACTTGGTTTTGAAAATGGGGCTTTTTTGCTCTGTATGGCTTTTGTGATCTTAAATTCTGGCATTGAATATTGCCTGCTTCACTGCCATTGCTGATGGCAAAGTGGTTTATTCATAATTTAATATTTTCTATATAAACATTCTGAAGTCTCTTTATCCTTAATGCTTTGGATGTGACAGGACTAAATCACATGTGGTTAACCAGGGTGGTGTGTCTTGTTGCATGCCTATCCAATGACACTACCTACTTTCATCTAGTACTTTGCAGCTCTGAGGCTAATTATTCAAGAGTAATAGTCACATT